AAATTCGAATTTCCAATTTTTTTTTCGCAAAAAAGACCTCATCGGCGTGTTTCTAGGGTTATACCCTTGATTATGTATAAATAGATATACAATGAGGGCTTAGTAAAATCCTATCTTCTAGATGGCGCCTTGCCCGTTCTGCATTTTTGTATTCCCCTACGATTTTCTTTGAGGGGAATCCGTTAAACTCGCCCATCGTTCAAAAATGGAAGGGCGCGAGGTCACATCTATTGGGCTACTTATTAGCACGTTTCAGGCATGTTTTACGAAAATAGCTTTATCCTTGTTGTTCAACTGTGACAAGAAAAAAGGAAAAGAGTCGTATTCGTTTCTAAATTCGGCAGTTTTGTTTATCTTTCTCGACTTCTGATTTCGTGTCGTTTAGGTTATGTCTTAAAAAATAATTATTTATAAGCTTTTGAGTTGAAATATACCTTAATGCATATCTAAATAATTAAAAAAATCATTTTTTTCGTCCCTCACGAAGAAACGAAACAGTATTTTTGAATATTTGGATTACAAACTATTATTTTCGACTCTTTTTATTCGGGTTACCACCACCAACTTAGATTTTTTTAAGTACGGACCTGAATTTATTAATTTACTATTTAAAAGTTTAAAACTTATGACTTATGACTGCCAAATGCAACAATGTGTCACAAAAGCCGGGATCTCATTAGCCAACACTCGATGCCATGCCACGCTATCCCACGTGTTGCGACATGGGAAAGGGTGTACACATTTTGTAACATGCCTGCAATTTTTATTAGAGTTAAAAAAGTTATAAGTAGCCGCAATTTGTTTTTTTTTTCAAATATCTAGTAAGCCATAAACCTTTTTAAAAATCTAAATGGCGCATTTATGACCCCACAAAACTGCAATTCATTCTCCATTTAATCGACTCTATCTGCAGTAGTTTTCGAGATACCCATAGAGAACATCGTAGAAAACTCACCCTGTATAAATATCCTTAATTAACAAAAAAATGAGGGGTTGGATAACTCGGCTTCGCGAAGTCTACCTATAGGGCTACTCTTAAGCCGGTCCCACATGATGTAGCAAACACCAGTGGCGGATACAGAGGGGGGGCCCATGGGGCCCGGCCCCCCCTCTAAAACTTCTAAATTGTGTTAAATATTAGGCTTTTTGGTTAAAAATGGCGCCCTAAAAAGCATATTCTACATTACTTTTATTTTGGGCCCCCCCTAAAATAAATTTCTGTATCCGCCCCTGGCAAACACCATCCAACGTTGGACACATGAACATTTGCCACATCGTGTAGGAGACACACTTGTCAATTACTATAATGTCGAAACCTGTGCTAAATGTTGACTACAACGTTGGACGCATCGTGTAGGACCGGCTTTACTCAATGCTCGAGCGATTCGCGTATCTCAAGAATAAAAAAGAATGATATGTCAAAATTGTAAGCAAGTTACTCCGGATTGGGATGAAGTGGCAGAGACAGTATAAAAATTGTTAAAAATCTACATCACACCCTACTCATAACCAGTCTGCCGAAGAAAACCTAGAAATTCTAATGTCTATCTAAAGTTATGTAACAAGTCAGATTCTGAGCTCCATTAATTTTTTTTAAATTATCGAATTTGGGGCCACAGCTTCTTCATAATCAGCCGGCTGACTTCTTACGATCATTTGCGTAAAAATCTGTGTGGTTAGCTAATTATTATTAGCTTAGGTTATGCTGTTACTACTCCAGTATTTAAAAAAAATATTTAGATACCACAAAATAAATTTTAGTCAACAAGAATATATTTAATTTTATAGAAATATACAAATGCAACCCCAGAAATGATTTATCTTTAGTTATCATTAATTAATTAGGATAACAATATCAAACGTTGCTAAAAATATCACACTATAAATTTTTCTAAAAACTTGTGTGCAAAGGTTGTTATTAGAATTAATTAATAATTAAAAATAATGTAGTAATTTGTAATATAACAAAATTATACCCATTTAGAGAATAGTTACCCCAATTCAGAGAATAGTTAAAAAAATCAATTTGTTTAAAAACAAAACAAATATGCATTAAACCAAAACTAAAAACAAATATATACATTATTACACCACAGACTATACATACCAAACCTGATGACGATCATTTGCATGGAAATTTACGTAGAAGCTACCTAGATCTTATGTAACTAACTAGTTGGGTTCTGTGAACTGCACTAAAAGTTCGTTTAAAAACCCACCGAGCCTAGCGCTTTGGCTGCTGGTATGTGTATTATAACAGACGCGGCAGGTAAAACGCGAATATTCAAAAACAACGAAGTTGGCCAGCTGGTACTGACTAAGCTGTGTTGTTACCTCAGTGCATCAAAATCAAAATGTATTTGATGTGTTATTGTATTTTTTAGAAATAAAGTCTTATTAAATATTTTTATTTTATAGCTATAATTGGAAATCACCAAATATATAATGTATGGAATACTCAGTTATATACAGAGTGTCCCAGAAAAAAGTGCAAGTATTTTAAGGGGTGGGAAATCTCGATAAAAGAAACATATTTTCCCTTTATCGTAAGTCCAAAATAACGGAGTTATTTTACTTTGAAAATTTCAAAAAAAAATGATTTTTTGCTAATATTTTGAGAACCACTGGATCTTTTCTCGATTTTCTTTAATTATAAAAATTATGTTTTTCAACTAAAAACTAAAAAAAATTTCGAATTTCCAATTTTTTTTGCGAAAAAGACCTCATCGGCGTGTTTCTAGGGTTATACTATACTATCTACCAGTTACAGTACTTGCGCTTATTTCTGGGACACCCTGAATATTCAATATCTTCTTGTTTAAAGAGAATAAAATAAAACTCAATACACCAAAACACTTTTACTTTTGCACTGGACGCGCGTTTCGCTAACCATGTTAGCAGTTAGCATCATCAGCAGATAATTAAAATTGAAGTTTAAATGATTTGAATTTATTTGAGTTTTAATCATCTGCTCATGATGCTAACATGGTTAGCGAACTGCGCGTTCAGTGCAAAAGTATAAGTGTTTTAGTGTATTGCGGTGAATTAATGTTTTATTTTGCTGTTGTAACACCAAAAGTCCCAACCCCCAACCTGTGCCCCAACTGTAATAATAAATTTTAAAGTATATAGGTACTCTGTGTTAAAAAATAGAATAAAAATTATTTAATATGTAAAATATTGTCACTTATTTCACATTATAAGGGTCCGGCAATAGTGCGTCGGTCATCTGTAGCTCCTAGAATAAGGAACTTACGAATTTTGTTTAAGTGCAAACCCTTGGTGCAAACATAAAGTATTTTTAAATAGTAGGTACTGTATTTTTATTATTTTCAAACGATGTATTTTAGGAAGGAAGTATTCTATCTTTTCTTTAGGGTGGCTCAAAAACGTGTGAGTGGATCGGGATGACATTTTAAATGGAACACCCTGTATATTATTACATTTTTAGCTTCCTTTCAGATCACTTTACAAAGTCCTAAGATATGACTAAATATATTTCGATAGTTTGTTTTGGTTTGTATTTGTATATTTTTCATCCTTTTTTCAAAAAAATATTAAAAATACAAGACCTGTTCTGAAATCAAAACTATATAAGTATTTACTTTATATGGCCAGTACTTACTTTGCTATAAATATGGTAATCGTAAAACAATAGAGGATGTTCAAAATTCTACACCAAACTTTCTAAAATATAAAATACTTTTTCTTCGTTTTTTTTAATGGAACACCCTGTACACTATTTTTTTATTAGATGTAGCATTAAAAAATGAACATTTTTTGTATTTAGAGTATTTCAAAATTATTAACAGTTTCGCGGTTTTATATTTCATATGGCATTTTCCACAGTAAATGTTTATCAAAGCCACCCAATGATTTTTCTCTCGTATTTTACCGTTGAAAGAGCCAAATGAAATAATTTTTAACTCTATGGAAATAAAGCCGGAGTCTCATGCATCCGAAATCCGATGGTACGACATCCGAAATTTGAAGTTATCGTGTGAAATAAAAAAAGCCTGTCACATACATCCGAAAGTTCGTTCCGAAATTTGACAGTTTTAACATTTTTCTGCTGCGCTGAATAGAGATTCATGTCATGTTTTATTGGAGAAACACTTATAAAAATAACTTCCTCGCCAAATATCCCGAAATTGCCCATGTGATTGCCCACTTCCCACTAAACTTGTTTTTAAAAACAAATGTTTTCAAAAAAAGTGAGGTTAAAAACACACGATATCGTACAAAAGTTAAACAAAATTTAACTTTATACGACGTCGGATGATTAGTTAAAATTATCGGATAAAAATTGTTGTCAAAATATTTCGACCAATAGGAGCACCGTCGGATCGTCGTGTCATCGGATTTCGGATGCATGAGACTCCGGCTTAATACTACATGTATCTGCAAAACCATTAAAAATTTTAAATACTTTAAATGCAAAAAATATTCATTTTTTAACTCTCTATCTAATCAAAAAATAATATACAGGGTGTTCCATTAAAAAAAAAACGAAGAAAAAGTATTTTATATTTTAGAAAGTTTGGTGTAGAATTTTGAACATCCCCTATTGTTTTACGATTACCATATTTATAGCAAAGTAAGTACAGGCCATATAAAGTAAATACTTATATAGTTTTGATTTCAGGACAGGTCTTGTATTTTTCCTAATTTTATTAAAAAAAGTCTGAAATATATATATTTTTTATTTATTTATTAATACCTCTGAAACTATCGCAATATATTTACTGATATCTTGGGATTATGTAAAGTGATCTGAAAGGAAGCCAAGTTTATAAAGGGTATCTTTAACTCTAATTTTAACAGACAATTTTGTAAAACATTTCAAATACATTATAAAAAACTTACAAGGCCATAATAAGACTATTATTGGTCAGTATACCAGCTTGAAAATGTTAAAAATAAGATGAGATGAATATAATGGTACTTAAAATATGATCAAGAAATGTGTATAGATACAGGTATAATATACGAAAACTAAATTAGTCTTAAAATCTCCTTGTTTATTCTTAAAATATTGCACGTATTTAAAGCCTTATCTTTATCCAGCTACTAGGTAGTATAAGTTGAAAATATAGTTACTAGAAATAAGTAAAATACCAGGTAATTTTTTTATAAAACCTTCTCTGTACCCCTAACTACCAGTTTATATAAGAATTATTTTTTGTAAAAATATATAAATATAAAATATATTTGGGTATTTGTGTAAATACTAATTATACTTAATATATTATTGAAAGTAGTCTTCTACTTTAAACAATTCTGTCGTTGGAGGGGCGGTAGTCTTTTTCTCATTAATACTCATCTTCTAAAACAAACATATTTTTAATGAATTACTTATAACTTTTTATACCTACTAAATTAAAATAATTTATTTTAAACAATTTATAACTTAAAGAAATCTCAAACTTTGATATATATCAAGTTATTAAAATTTAAGTATCAATATTGGTACTTACAAAAAGTGGTGATAACATATTTGTAACTCTGCTTGCAGTATCAACCGCATTCAACTTTATTTCACCTTCCTCAATTCTCGATTCTAGAGCATCCAAGTTGCTTTTAATATGTTCTACTAAAAATTCTGTACTATCTATTTTCTCACACAACTGGTCAAATTCTGGTTTGTACTGTAACATCGATGATAGCAAATCACTCGAATCTTTAACATCTGGTTGAATAAAAGTAAACATTGTTTCAAACTCTTCTAATCGAGTTAACATATCGTCTATGGATTTATTAATAGGCTCTAACTGCAAGAAATTTAAGAAAAAACAAAACATCATAAAAACTATTTTTGATCTGCCTACTTACTTTTTTGGCCAAATCTATATCTGTTATATATTTGCTATAATCTTTTGCTGTCTTTTCAACATCTCCTTCCTTCATTGTTAACTGAAATTTTAGTAATCCAACCAAAAATCCAACTAAAATATGCTAAAATCTATAAAAATCAACAACAAAATCAACAACAACAACAATGAAACCTTAACCTAATTTAATTTACCCATTTTCATAATCGCAATTCGCAATGGATATGCAACACAATATACAATGCTGTTTTGTAGTATTTTACTGGTTGTAGAACCAAAGGTAATAAAATTCTTTGACTATACCGGGTGCGTTGACTATACCTTTGACTATACTAAACGAGATTTGGTATGTTAGTATATGACATAAATTAGGATTGATTGACGTATTCAATTGTTTTTGGTTGCTTCCTGTTTCACCGGAAATGACTACAACTTTTGATTTTTAAATGGCGCCCTAGGTATTTTTTCACTTTATTTGATAGAAAATGACACTCTGAATAGAATGACATATCATATGTCAACTTTTGACATTTTCGCTTAATAAAAAATCCTATTTTAATATTCAATCTAGAATGCCATCGCTATGTTAAAAACACTAATTCTTAATCAAAGAGCCTTGGAAAAATAGATTTGATCGTCTAATGTTTTTAGTGTCATATCCTGACCAGTTAGAAACTGCTCAATTCGTATTGTTAATCATATCTCAATTTTTTCAAATGGAACGAGGGTGGCTCATTAGCATAATTAGAAAAAGCATTTTTTTACGAATAATTTAATACCACACATTTCGTATTTCGAGTCAAATTTTCGTTACAAATCGTAAGTTATAATTTCAAATAAACCATATGCAAAAATGTCAAAAGTTGACATATAATATGTCATTCTATTCAGAGTGTTATTTTCTATGGAATAAAGTAAAAAAAATACCGGGGTTCCATTTAAAAATCAAAAGTTGTAGTAATTTCCGGTGAAACAGGAAGTGACCAAAAACAATTAAATACGTCAGTCAATCCTAATTTATGTCATATCATATGTCATATACTAACATACCAATTCTCGTTTTTTTTTTTATTTAACCCCGTTAAGGCGGGTTCTCACTTGTGAGTTTCGCTGACGCAGTCTGACTGATTCAGTGATACTGAACAAACAATGAACGTCAGAACACATTTTCATGTTAAATGATCAGTACATTCGTACTTTCAGTTAAAGTGAAAACCAGTTCTACTTTTTTTCATTTTGACTGATCATTATCGAATAATGAATAGAAACTGAAGCGTGAGAACTACATTTTCGTGATTTGTGCAGTTTACAAGTTAAGTTAATTAATTCTTTTAATATAGTTTCACTAGCACCCCGTTTATTTCTTCGCAATATCCAGGACCTGACCACCTACGACGTTTTTTTTTTTCTTTTCTGATTCACCAGAATATTCTGTAATTCATTTGCTAATTGTAAACAAACTTTGCGAACACCTGGTTTCAATTTTGTTTTAACCATTTTCATGTCTATACGAAATCACCACATTAGAATGTTTGGACCAACTGAATACTGAATGTAGCAAAACATGAAACGTGTGAATACAATCGTTGTTTTTTATTTTTCATTGATAATGAATCAGTCAGACTGCGTCAGCGAAACTGACAAGTGAGAACCCGCCTTTATAGGGGTGGACCACTTTTGAGACGCACCCGGTATAAAAAATCCAATAAAAATCAAACCACTTTTCAAATTAGTCAAAGCCTGTCAAAGCAATCGGGCCTTCAAGAAATATCGTAAGATCGAAAAAAATCGGCGTCCAGTTGGCTTGGAAATGACAATCGATGACATTCTCCATATAATAATTTTACCTTTTACATATAAAATGACAGCGATATTCATTTCATAGACATCGCTGACGCCGTTTTCTTTTCGATCATATTGTATCATGTGGGCTGCGGGTATTATTGTTGTCATAACAATTTTATATATTTTCGAAAAACTATTTTTTGATCGATTTCGTCTTTTATACAGGGTGTTTCAAAAATCATGTGCCATCTCTCGTGGGAGATTCCTCACGTAAAAATAAGATTTATTTTTCATATCAACATGGATCCGATTCTGCTTTGTTTCGTAGCTACAGGGTGTTAAAATCTTAATAATCTTTCGATTTATTATAATACTAGCGTGTACACTGTACCCGCGACTTCGTTCGCGTCGAATTAATCATTTGTAATGGTGATGATAAAGCAAAGCAAGAATTTCCATTAACATACAAACTGGATAAAATGTTCTCACATTTATGTCAGCATGAGAAAAAAACAATGTGGCGATATTATTATATAACTTGGTAATATTTGAAGGGTAGTTTCATCTCGTTGGAATTTGACTTTCCAAAAATCTGTTTGCCAAAAACAAGCTTTTTACGGTAAGCAGTTTAAGCAGAATCGTGGTTAATCAATTACCCAAACAAAACAACTTTTGGAACACCCTGTATGATTTTTAAAAAATTTCAAAATATGTAAAAAAACAAAATAAATTATGTGTGTCCAAGCGTTTTCCCGAAAGACTAACCGTTTTTTAAATAACTATTGTAGTATTTGAGGGGCGTTTTCACCCTCTTGGAATTTGAGATTCGAGAAACCCCTTCTTATCGAACCTCTACACCCCACAATCAATCCGTTTACCAAAAATCAGCTTTAGACGTCAAGCAGTTTAAGCAGAATTGTGATTACTCAATGGTCATATTTTATGAAACACCCTGTATAAATTTTTAAAAAATCTTAAAACCTGTAAAACAACAAAATAAAATATAAGTGTTTAAGAGTGTTTCCGAAAAACTGACCGGTTTTTAAATAAAAAATATTCTAATATTTGAGGGGTGGTTTCACCCCCTTAGAATTCGAGTTTCGAAAAATCCCTTCTTATCGAACCTCTACACCCTAAAGTCAATCCGTTTTCCAAAAACCAGCTTTTTACGTCAAGCGCTTTAAGCAGGATCGTGATTAATCAATGACCAGATTTTTCGAAACACCCTGTATACATTTTTAAAAAATCTTAAAATATGTAAAAAACAAAATAAAATATACGGTTACTATAAAAAGTTAAAAGTTACTATAAATGCTACATATTTTAATGCAAAAAAAGTGTCGACATATTCATCAGGGACGTGCATATGGTTTATCACTGGAATACGATTCTAAAAAACGGCGTCAGAGACGGCTGGGCAATGACAATCGATAATAATTTTGGCAATGTCACGCTCTAGCCGTCATCTACTTGGCTGGTACTCTTCTTTATATTTAATGGCGCTTTAAAAATAAATATATATACTTCATAAATAATTATTTAATGGCGCTTTTAAACGAATTCATTTTTATATTGAGTAAAAATGATTTTTAAATGGTGTAGTTGATAAATACTTTTTTTGAAATAGATTTATTGTATGTCTGAAAACATACTATCCATTTTTAATCTTTCCATAATTAGTGTTAAATTTAACAAGTTTTATATCAATTTTTCATAAATGACGCATAGAGAATGACCTCCCAAAAATTATTAACGATTGTCATGACCCAGCCGTCTTTGACGCCGTTTTTTTCGAGCATTTCTTTTAACGATTCTTTCGGCAAAAGTAAAAGCACCGAATATGAATTTTATAAACTGTGGTAAAAGTGGATCTAGGCGTATCGATGTTGAGGAGGTAGCAGAAATCGCAGGAGAAAGATTGTTTTTAATTTTCAAGTCTAGTGGGTACCAGTGTAGTACCACCGACTGCAGCAACCAGTTGGTTCGGTTATTGGGTACCATCAAGACCGTATTTTTCAGTGTGCTTTACCAAGTCCGCCGTCAGTAACCAGTTATTCGTGTTGTTGTCACCGTCTACGAAAATGTACGTAATTTATATTAAGTAATAAGGGTAATATTAATATTTTTTATAAATGTCAACTCACCAAATTTATAAATATGTACTTCAAATACAATATTGAGTTAGGTGTATACATATTAATTTTCATTAATTTTTAACAATATAGAAAGAAAACGGTTGTTGCTTTTTTTGACATACAACTTTTAATCGGCGTTAAACGGCCTATACAATTTTGTTAAAAAGATAAAAAAATGTCAGCGGCGCACATGTTTTTTTTAGGAAAATATTCCAGTGATAACCCATATGCACGTCCCTGGTGAATCTATCGACACATTTTAGAATTAAAATATGTGCACTTATAATAACTTTTGCCTTCAAAATTTTATTCGAATCACTAAAAGCACTTTGAAGAAAATTATAATAAATCGAAAAAAATGAAGACTACTCCCTTATTTTTAGGTGAGGAACATATTTTTTAAAACACCCTAAATAACAATTTACTTCCACAATATTTCACGTTAAGAATGTTTATATTTGAGATTTTATAAATGGCAAAGAGCTTTAAAAAATGTAGTGGAAATCTAAAAATGATCATAATTTACACAAACCACTGTAATAATATACAGGGTCTGGCAATAGAGTGCGTCGGGCATCTGTAGCTCATAGAATAGAAAACTTGAGAATTTTGTTTAAGTGCAAACCTAAAGTATGTACTAAGATGTATTTCAGGAAAATATTTTAACTTCTATAGGGTGGCCCAAAAAAGCGTGAGTAGATCGGGATGCTTTTTTTAAATGGAACACCCTATATATTATTGCATTTTTGGGTTCCTTTCAGATCATTTTACATAATCCTAAGATATGAGTAAATATATTTCGATAGTTTCAGAGATATTAATAAATAAATAAAAAAATATTTATTTTTAAGCCATAATCATAAAAAAAATATTAAAAATACTATCCCGAAATCAAAACTAATATTAGGTATTTACTTTAGATGGTCTGTATCTACTTTTCTGTAACTATTGTGATCGTAAATCATACAGGATGTTCAAAATTCTACGCCAAACTTTTTAAAATATAAAATAATTTTCCTTCGTTTTTTTTTAAATGGAACATCCTATATATTATTTCTTCAATAGATGGAGAACATTGAACATTTTTTGTATTTAAAATATTTCTAAATTTTTAACTGTTTTGCAGATATTCGCGGTTTTATATTTCATATGGCATATTCCACAGTAAATTTTTATCAAAGCCACCCAATGATTTTTCTCTCGTATTTTACCGTTGAAAGAGTCATATGAAATATTATTGCGTGTACCTGCAAAACCAATAAAAATTTTGAAATACTTTATATACAAGAAATGTTCATTTTTTAACTCTCCATCTAATAAAAATAATATACAGGGTGTTCCATTTAAAAAAAAACAAAGAACAATTATTTTAAATTTTAGAAAGTTTGGCGTAGAATTTTGAACATCCTGTATGATTTAAGATTACGATATTTATAGCAGCAAAGTAAGCCTAGACCATCTAAAGTAAATATCTAATATAGTTTTGATTTGAAGACTTTCTTGTATTTGTAATAACTTTTTAAGGAAAGTTGAAAAATATATATTTTTTATTTATTTATTAATGTCTCTGAAACTATCGAAATATATTTACTCACATCTTAGGGTTAAGTAAAGTGATATGAAAGGAAGTGAAAAGTGCAATAATATATAATATACAGGTTGTTCCATATAAAAAAGCATCCCGATCCACTCACGCTTTATTGAGGCACCCTATAGAAGTTAAAATATTTTTTTTTACATCCTCGTACATACGTTAGGTTTGCATATAAACAAAGTATTTTATATAAGAATTCTGGGTTTGAGATCATCTAAACCAATCACCAAAAATATCGAAAGTTGTTTTAAAAAGGGATATATGGTATGCTCATGAAACAGTACCAATTAGACCAAATTTAAATTAAAAAAATGCAAAAAGTAACCGGTTTGTTTCACCAACAAAAATGTAAACAACTTATTGGTAAGATAAATTTGGTTGGACAAAAATTCAAAACAACTACTTAAGGAATTTATTGATGAAATTAATTAATAATAATTAAAGTCTGCAAATTTATTTATTAGGTACTTTTTTATAATATCAAGAAGCAATCGTTATATGAATTATTACAAATAACTTGTAAAAACAATGTGTCAAGGTGGTTTAATTAATTATTTTTAATATTTTTATGACATAATAAATAATAGATAACCTACTTCATTTGTGATTAAAAAACGCATTAAATAAAATTAAACTTTGCACTTTTGGCTTTATAAATCCATAACGTTTTTTTAGCAAAACAAATAATACCTAAAAGTTAATTAAAATTTTAGTGGTAGTGCTAATTAGAAAAGTACGAGAAATAATAAACCATGCAAGATCAAAATAGCTTTAAGAAATCGTCCGAAATTCAAAATATTTTTGAAATTCTATTAGATTTCTTAATAGAAACCAATTTTGAAAATAACACACGCATCTGAAGTGACTTAATATGCAGTATTAACATCTGATTTTTCAAAAGTATCTATTACATTTAAAACAATATTCTGTAATACTGTATACTTGTAAAGAATATAAAACCGTAAGATACTGTTAATAATAATTTCTTCTAACGCGCTCTGGATTCAATGGTCGCAAGTTCAATTCCCGCCAGACGTACCAGAATAAAGTAATCATATTATGGAATTGGAATTTTGGAATTTATTAAATTTCCCAACAGAATAAAGTGATCATATTTTGTATCTTGAAAAAGCTCGGGCTATTTGCCACTGAAATGGAAATCTAAAAAATCTAAAAGTTATTTTTTGTAAAATGCTTTTGCGTTATGATCAAAAAAGAAACCAGCCACATCAAAATAATTACCGTCAAGCAAAGACAGCCAAAATTCAATTTATTTAGGTAGGTACCTATTTTTTAATGTTAATATAAATTGTCTTATATTACCAATTGGGTGGGTGGGGGGCGATTTCCTTATATTACCTTTACCTATATTATTAATTTATTGTAGGTAGACATAATGAGAACATGCATGAGATTAATACAACCATATACAGGGTGGTCCGAACTGTATTCCGGAAACTTCGACAGAATATTCTGTAGATAAAAATAAATAAAAAAGTTCGTATAAATATATGTCCTAAAATACAGAGAGATTTCGGAGATTTCGGAGATACAGGGTGTATAAGTTTAATTTTTATTTCAATTTTTTCCAAATAATTTCTGAAGTAACGCCAATATTTGGATGAAAATTGGGGTCTGTTAGTTTTTTGACATAAGAAACTTGATTTTGATGTCAATATGACTCCTACTTGTAGAGGGCGCCACATACATATTTTTTAACTGGTTTGAAGAGTAGGTAATAACTTTTCGTCCGTACCTGCGTATAAAACTACTGCGTTAAAAAATATACATTTACGACGTTTGCTACGTAAAAAAGATCTCTTGTTAAAAATCGCTATAAGTAATGGTTTTCGAGACATTTGGAATCGAAATTATCAATACCTGTCATCATTGACATAAATTAAACATGTTGACTAAATAGTTATTAGACTGAAATCATAAATTTGAAATGTTTTTGTGCCAAAAGTTCAACAGAAACTGTTTTATCATCATTTTTTCGCAGAAAAATTTATGAGTAATTTAAAAAAAAATAAAAGTTCCCAAATTTATTATTTCAGTCAAATAACTATCTACTCAACGTGTATATTTTTTGTCAATAATGACATGTATTGACCATTTCCATCCTAAATACATATCTTGAGAGTGGTTGCTCGTAGCGATTTTTACCAAGAGACATTTTTTTACGTAGAAAGTCAAGGAAATGTATATTTTTTCACTCAGTAACAGGTACGGGGTACGGAAGAAAAGTTATTACTCTTAAAAACAGTTAACACACATGTAGATGGCGCCCCCTACAAGTAGGAGTCATATTGACATCGAAATCAAATTTCTCATGTTAAAAAACTCTCAGACACCAATTTTCATCCAAATATTGACGTTACTTCAGAAGTTATTTGGAAAAAATCGAAATAAAAATGCAATTTCTACACCCTGTATCTCCGAAACTAAGCATTTTAGGACATACATTTATACGAACTTTTTTATTTATTTTTATCTACAGAATACGCCGCCGAAGTTTTCGGAATACAGTTCCGACCACCCTGTATAGGGCGGATACAGAGGAATTTATTTTAGGGGAGGGCCAAATAAAAAGTAATGTAGAATCATATATTTATAAGTATATGTGTAGAATATGCTTTTTAGGGCGCCATTTTTAACCCAAAAGCCTAATATTTAACACTCAAGGAGAAGAACACTCAGAATAAATAAAATTTTTGAAAAAGTTCTAACAATATCTATTTGGTTTATATACAAGAAATCTGTAATTGCATAAATCACTGCCAATTATAACGAGTTTATATTCAAACAGGTTAAAGTATTTGCGTAATTATTTTGTTCAATTAACTAAAGCATCAATTTAAACAGTAATTTGATTTCAAACTGGTAGTAATATTGTTTTTACAGTGATAATGCATAAAATAATGAGTCTAAGGCAATCATAAGTAAATATAATGATTCACGCTATAAAATTTCAATTTAGTGCAAATTTGCTCTATTTCGTAGATCTCTAGAAAGTCCCTTTGACAGTGACATTCTCTTATTAGCCTAGGTGAGTAATTAAACCACTGGACTAGAACCCTTTTCATATAAATATTTACATGATGGAAGTTTGCGAATTTGATTTTTTTTGAAAATTTTTATTGTTTCTGTATATTCACGAGTTTAAAGTTTTATAATATTGAAATTAAAAAAAGATATAAAAAATTATCTATCATTAAAACACCTCTTTGAAAATTATGTTTTGATATTCAAGATTTAATTTGTTTTCGAAAATATAAAGCTTTCCAGAAAAAAAATATTTATAAAAAATATACCGTATCATCGAAAAAAACGGCGTCAAAAATGGCTGGGAAA